GCTTAATGTAATAATATCTGGCAGCTCCAAGTAGGCACGGAGGCTCGCTCGAGCAGGACGTCATACAACAAGCGCTTCACATGGCTTTTGAAAAGCTACAGGGATTAGACAGTTTTCAAAATGGTGACCTTTTACAAAGTTTCTTGGAACAGATGCCTCCCATCCAAGCGGACGTTCGGGAAGCCATAAATGAGGACATCACCGAAGCAGAGATCGCCAGCACGATAAAAGAGCTGTCTTCTCGGAAATCTCCTGGAGTGGATGGCCATGGAGCGGCGTTCGAGAAAAAGTTTGCAGATCTATTGGTCCCTCTTCTCTGCCGGGTTTTCTCCGACATCCTTGCACGAGGCCTTCTCCCTTCATCCATGCGGCAGGCAATGGTAGTCCCCATTCCGAAGAAGCGCTCTCCTCACAGCTGTCCGAGCGTGGAAGACTTCCGGCCAATAAGCATCCTCACGACGGACTATAAAATTCTAGCAAAGATCCTAGCGAAGAGGCTTGACCGGGGCATTCGCTGCGTAGTTGGAGACCATCAAGCTTATGGCATTCATGGAAGAAGCATCCAGGACAACCTGCACAATGAGAGTAATGTGCGAAGAGGCATTAGTGGAGGGCAGCCCGCTGGCCGCCCTCCAAGTGGATCTCAGCAACGCCTTTGATCGTTTCTCTCACTGGTTCCTCTTCCGGCTGCTGGACCATTGTGGCATAGGTGAGACGCTCGGCAGATACGTCAATATCTGTTACAATAATATATTGACCAACATCAAGGTCAATGGAGGCCTCACCAAACCTATCCCCGTCCACTCATCGTTTCTTCAGGGCTGCCCTACGTCGCCGGTGTTGTTCTCACTCGATCTTGAACCATTGTGCCGGCGCATCATCAGCGACGGTGCCATCAGAGGATTCAACTGGGCGCCAAGTCTGCTAAAGGTACTAGCATATGCAGACGACGTAACTCTGTTGTGCTCCTCACGCAATGATGTTGACCTAGCGCTGAAGCACGTTTCGGACTTTCCGAAAGTCCGGAACGGAGTGTGTCGGGTGCTCGACTGAGCGAAAACAAATCGACCGGTGCGTGGTTGGGAGCCTGGGACGCTCGCCCTGAGAGCTTCCTGGGCATCTCATGGAGTTGCGCAGTGACAAACTATTTAGGCAGAAGCTTTGCCCCCGAGTGCCTCACGGCTGGGGACTCAGGTATCCATATGAAAAGTTTGCAGGGGAAAGCACAGGACTGGTATGGGAGATATTTGTCTTTCTTTAACCGTAGTAGTAGGGTCTGCAATTCGGTATTTTTTCCGACCATGTGGTACGGGGCACAAGCGATGTCTTGTAAATTATTGATGTTCAGAAAGTGAACCGATTCTGCGCTGCGTACATATGGGACTCTAAGTTCGAGCGCATGCGGCGCAACACTTTTTTCCTTTGTCGGCAGGAAGGTGGTCTCGGTCTAGTGAAGGTTGAACTGAAGCTCCAAGTGCAGAGATTTTTTTTTTTTCGCAGTCAATACAACGAGCATTTGCTGAAAGCTATTCAAAAGCATGCCGGAAAATGCACAGCTTAGTCAATTCCGGTACCTAATGAATGGTGCGAGGGAGTTTTCACGCTCAAATTCTACAAAGAAATTGAGCAATCATTGAAAACATTTCACGCGATGTTTTCGGACGAATACCTGGCAAAGGTGAAGCGCCGCATTTTGTACTGGGATGCCCTGGAGCTGCTAACCCCCGTGCCCACGCACCGCGCGAACCTTCGCGAGACGTCGTCTAGTGTTTTCTAAAGGCTTTAGTTCTACCCCGTTCAGACCGGCACAAAGGACTTTTTCTTTAAGTTTCATACCGAGGTTTTGCCCGTCAAAAACTGGCTGGACAAGGAGGGCTTCTTTGTGGCATGGTCAAAGAATTGTGCGCTATGCCACTACGAGGAAGACCTGAGACATGTGTTCTTTGATCGCACGAACGCTCAATTGTTCTTGGTCCAGCTAAGACAAACGCTTCAGGTTCAGCCCTACCCAGAATGGGAAAGCTCTAAATTTGTGAAGTTTGGCAACGGTACAAACAGAAGCTGTCTCGAGACGCTAGCCCCCCTTGGTCTCCAGGCTATCTGGCGCTCAAGGACAGATCACCTCCTGGTGGCAGTAGGTGGGAAACCTGCTTGACGCCATTTTGTTGGTGGCTTCCAGTACGTTTTTTCAGTCCTCAGTGCGAGAGATTGGGCAGGATATCACAACTGGAAGGCGTTCCCAAAGCGTTTGCCTTGGCCGAGTTTCTGAGACTTTTTATGGTGCCCACCGGGGTCGCGGCTGTATGTGGATCGATGTAACCGGTTCATGGCCCCGACACTCTCCGAGGACGGATTGAATGTCAAGTGTGCTCTGCCTCTGCCACATGAGTTGTGGCTTTTAACGTGTACATAGCATCACAAGGTTTAAAAAAAAAATTTCAGGCGGTAGAGTGTCGGACTGCTGTACAGAAGGTGCCGAGGTCGATTCCCAGCCGCCGCAGAACCTATTTTGGCGAATAAAATGCATATACCGCGCAGCGATTCAAATGTCACATGTCCTTCGTCCTCATGTGCCCGTCTCGCGCTATGACGTCATCATCATGTGACGTCACCCTCTGGCGAATGACTCAAATGAATTCGCGCCCTCTGGGAACACTCATGATTGACAGGTCCCAAAATTTGGGGCCGAGGACCGGGCTATGGGAGGGGAATGTGACGTCACGTTCACGTGGGACGATGATACAGGATGAAACCGAGGCGCGTGCCGAGTGTCGTCCCTACCTATGACCTAATCATCATATGACTCTGCCGAATGATTGACAGGTCCCGGAATTTGGGGTCCAAGGACCGGGCGTGCGAACCTGACGTCATGGTCACGTGGGAGGTTGATACAGGATGGAAGCAAGACGCGTGCCGAGTACGTGCGCTGAATTTGTTTACATCCGTGTACGTGACCAGAATTTGTTTACTTCCGGCTCAATCGTGTATCATATTCGCGACTCCAGCAAAACTGACGCCACCAAGCGGAAAAACCGAGAACCAGCCGTTCCAGGTCGCTCCGCTCCCCTCCGCGTCTCTGGCGGCTTCGCGGACACGTGTTGTCGGCGCGGTGGCGAACAGTGTAATTTGACGAAGGTCCGAATATTTCTTAAGTTTGCCTGAGTGTTCATGAACGTGGTGAAGCCTCAGTAGATTGTTTCCATCCATCACGTGTTTCGAAGCCCGTTTACTCCACGACACACGGTCGCGTGCTTTCGATTTCTTGGATGGGGCGAAATCACAGAGAAACGTTTGGATTTTGTTGTCTGTCTCGAATTACACTCAGAGTGACGACTGCTTGGTAACTAATAAGTTTTTTTGTTTCTTTTTTTATGAGGATGTAGAGCAGTGAACTGAGGCATTTCACTGGAGGGAACATCAATGTTGCAGTTAAGTGAATGGGAAGGGAAGGTTCGACAGCTGCTTTTCTTGTGTTTGGTTGTGTTCGGTTAGCTTCAAGTTTGAGCCACCCACGCCCGTCGGCGGGTTGGCTATTCATCTTAGCTGTTTTTTTGCCGAAAAAGCCTCTGGACCACACTGAACGAGTTCGGCTGATTTTGCAATTGCTTGATTCAAAAAAACCTGCTCGCTGCAAATTAAAAATGAGTGAGATTATTTGTTTTCAAAGGTGGGGGAGGGGGGGGGGGGAGGACGAGTCTCGCAACTTTAGAAGCTGCCACAGCATTTTAAACTACCGCGCCTCCAACATTTATATTATACCCTCGTCAAAGCAGCAGCAGCAATGCACGTCTACATTGGTCAGGTTGACCGGCCACAAGAAATACTCATTTTCTCCGTTCAGGATTCGAAGCAAAGTTCAATGCAGAGAGGTTCTGCGTGAATCTCCGATGAAGACTCTCTTCAGTTTGTCTCTGTGCTGTCGGCTAGAACCATTTAGCTAAGTTTTAGTGATATCTCTCTTTCTGTCAAATGTACTTTTGTTCAGCATTTCACCTAATAGCTAGTCAGCTAAGCTCATATTTTAACCCAAAAAATATACTAATATCGCTTTAGTGGGACAATAGTACGTAATATAATACATAACCCGCTCGTCAAAATGACTTCTCGATTGCTACTAAAACCTGAATTTAAATACGAGTATCAGCTGCTTAGTGGGGCGCCGGCGGGTTAACATGGTCCTTGGCTCAAGAAGCGCTTGCTTAATTTTCGTAATTTTACTGCAGCCTGTGTTCTTGACCGAGCTCACACGACTGGAGCTCTTTCTTAAACGGGGATACGCACAAAAGCTTGATTTAGATGACAGATAAGTCGCATGGTCGAGGCATGCGAGTTTGCTGAAAATAACTCTCGGTGGAACAATTACTTAGTCATCGCCGCTTTCCTTAGATGATCAACACTGATTAGTATATTACCGTCTCTCCAGAGCCCATAGTTTCGGTTTTGAACGAACACTCCAAAAATAAAGTTTGACATGAAAATAAGACAAAAAACACCGGGAAAACAAAACGATGCTTTGCAAGTTTATGTGCAGCGGCGACACTTAACCGTCTCAGTTCAAATTCCTATAAAATTGGGCATTAAACCAAAGCAAATCTTTTAAATTGAACGCGCCACCTGTTCAGGCGGCCCGGCCGAGCCTACGCGACCTGGACTCAGCCGCCATGTTTGTTTGGTGGTGGCGCCCCCTATAGGTCGCTGGAGTCGCGAATAACACTACTGAGGTTTCCTCCTCTCTTCTCCAGCGTTACGCCTTCCTCTTCCCCGGCCCGTCTTAGCCTCGCCTTACCTTCCTGAGTTTCAACGGACTATAGAATGTTTGTGTCAGGCTCCAAGGTTTGCGCCACATATTTCCCTACCAGATTACACTTTATCGATGCAGAAGAAATTTCGTTGGTTTGACCAAACTGAGAAAATTCCTACGATAATTTGGAGGCAGAGTTTTATTAACAAAACATTAAGTTTATTTTATTTTTAAAAACCTTAGAAAGTACATTACGCAATCAAAAATTTCCGTCGGTGTGATCGCACAAAGCTTCCTTAGCAGACTCCCTATTTTGCGACCAACGTTTCTCCCACTCATCAAATTGTTTCTTCAATTCATGAGGACATGTCTGTACAAAGAAAGAAGCACAGGACACTATTGTTTAAAAAAGACACAAAAGCATCAACGCGAACGTAATTTTTTTTTTTCGTTTTAACCTCTACTTTAACCCCCCCCCCAAAAAAAAAGGAATTAAAAAAATGAATTTATGTCTGCGATTTATTAGGTGAATTGATATTCCTGTTTTCATTTGTAGTTTATCAAAATTTCATTTTGACGTTAAATAAAATATATTTTGCTCTTATATTTCTACTGCAGAGGTAACTTTCGCAAAAAGCTAATTTTTGCGGATTTCCCGAATCGGCCACGATTTTCCAAGAAATAGGTAACGCGAACAACTCGAGCAAACGTTCGACACTTTCAAAGCAATATTAGGAGCTGTGCTCTCTTACAGCAACGATCTAACAACGGGAAAAGACACATGCAAAGGTTCTCACGTGATTAATATATATATGTTTTCTTTATTATCATAACAACTGAAATAATGAAAAAAATCTAATAAGTAAGAAATAATGGGCACCTCAATTAATGGTCACCGCGGGTTCTAGTTTTCGATTCGCAGAAGTTAGACTACGCGACTAATTAAAAAATCATTCACTTTTAAACCGCTCCGCGAGACTTGGAGCCCGCAAATATTAGGTGGTTCACGAAATATTGAAATATATCCTTCCAGAGTTAGTGGTGCGTAACATTAATCAGATATGGCAGTACCATATATTCTTAGAATAATTTATATGGATGTCTAAAAAAAAGCGAGGATTATTTGTAATAAAATTGTGTACATAAGTTGAAACTTCAGTCACATTCAAAGTACTCTCCGTCTGTTGCAACACACTTGTCGATATGCTTTCTTCTGAGGCTCAAGATAACCTTTAAAATCGTCGACTTTGATGCCTTTCTGTGCTTCTGCAGATTTCTGTATCATCCATTCCACATCGGTAAACTATTTCCCCTTAAGAACGTTTTGCATTCGAGAAAAAAAACACGCTTGATCATGCGGACAAAACAACAGGCAAGCACGAAATATGTAATAGGCCTTCTAGGGTAGAAGAGAAGGCACCTGAACGGGCACCGCCTACCGAAGATTTGTTCTCATTTCTGACGCACGCCGTGAGATGGCACAGCATGACAGGAAAGACCGCCTTCGCTCGCCGCGCGAGTGAGTTCACTTTTGCGTGCTCCGAACATCAACCCTGGATAACTCAGTGGACAAAGAACTTGGCTCACAAGCTCAAAGTAGTGTGCTCAAATCCCACCGGAAACCTGGCCTTTTTATTGGTTCAATAGGGGGGTAACGCTTTTCGGTGTCGGTTTTTCCTCACAGCAAGCGCTGCGTACTCGTTAGACCAGTCATACGCCCATCCCTTGGCACGTGATCACACTCCCGCCTATATTCACGCGCAGAGGGCGATGCCAGGTTATGAAAGGGTGGTGGCTGATTGGTCGAACGAACGGGTAGGTTCCACCGCATTGCCAGTTTAGGGATGATCGAAGTATACAGAGGGCTGTTAGAGCCGAACTTTACAGAACTGCATGGAAATCGGCTGAAAAACATATTTTGTGTCAAATTCACACGAAGCGAGGTTGGTTGAACAGGAAGGGCGGAGTGCGGGGTCATGCCGTTTTTGGTCAAAACTGCGGAACACTCAGCGTGGTGTGGGGGGGCGCGTTACCAATAGGGTCGAACCATTTTCGTAGTTCCCATAACTTGGGACCCTTCTTCCGCAAATCTTGGCGGTGCATTCTTAACACTTTCGTATAAAAGCATTGGTTCTCCGTTTTGCGCGGACGAAGAAATTATGAGCGCACAATGCCACTCGCTTTAAAAAAGCATATTATTTTCGTGTTGATGTGCACGCGAAGTGGCAGCTTTTCACTGAATGAATTGCGGTTTTTTTCGGGATCGTAGACTCTTTTAAGGCTCATTTTTAATCAAAACATTAAAAAACAATCATGATCATCCGTCAACAGCTTTTTCAAAGCAAACGCATGCAGCCATGCGACTGCCTTTTTGCTCAGGTGTAAGCAAGGGAGGCACTATTTTGCTGCAACTCGTTCCATGTGCAAATCCCCCGATATAATTGGCTATCTGAAACTCCACCACTCTCTGGTCTGATCCACACGTTCGTCAATGGTCCGGTAGTGGTTATCAAAATAGTCTGAGGAAGTATTACAAAAATTTCTTTAGTTTGGCTGGTTGAAAGACGCCCCGAATAAGGTTGACAGTCAATCGATATTTTCTCCTGTCTTAATCGTGACAACTATTCGTAAACATGTGTTTACTCAGAGCAGGTTGTTGCTAAGGCGCTTGTAGCACGAAAATAGTGTCCCCCCCCCCCCCCCCCCCCCTTATCTGAAAACAAAATTTGAATGCCTCAAGTTGTCCGCAGAAACCAGGGGTCTGCATACGTTTTGAATGAAGGGCCGGATCTGTCACAGCCTCGACGGCCGAAGAAACAGAGTAATTATATAAACGAAGAAAAACTAAACAAATAACTCTATATAGATATTTTAACAGACAAATTAATATTAGAGTAAGTATTAAAAAAAAACCGATGCGGAAGAATGCGTATGCGTATTTTCTGGACAATAGTGCGCACAAGGCGCATAGTCTGCAGGGGCAAATTTGGGGTCAATAATAAAAGTTTTTGCTTAGATAATCCATACACGGTGCTTAATCCACACGCCGTGCAGAGTCCGCACTTAGTGCCTAGTCCAAACGTATAAAAAAATTAAAGACCTTTACTATTATCTGTGATGCCGAATTAGAGCGCAGCTCTTGAGGAGGAGAGGGGGATACGGAAAGGAGGCTATGCCCCTCCTCCCCCTCCTCCCCTCCCCCCACCTCACCTGGTCCCCTCCCATTTAACGTAAAATATTCGCAAAATTTCTGGCTAAATTTAGAGGAAAAAATTCCCCGAAGAATTGAGTGGGAAATGTTTCTGCTGAACATTGAGGGGGGAAATTTTCCGCTAAATTTAGCTGGGAATTATTCGCGCTAAAATTAGCGGGTAAAATATTCCGGAAAATCTAGCGGGGAAAATATTCTGCTGAATTTAGGGGGAAGCTTATACGCTAAATATAGCGGGGAAATTTTTTTTGCTATATTTAGCGTGGACATTTTTCGCTAAATGTCGAGGGAATTGTTTCCCCTAAAATTAGCGAGGAAAATTTTCCCCTAATGTATATTTAAGCCAAATGAGGGGAGGGGGGGGATGGAAATTGATCCGGTAAATTTATTGGAAACATTTTTGCGCTAAATTTGGCGGGGAATGCTTTGCCCTAAATTTAACGGGGAAAATGTTCCGCTAAATCCAGTGGCGAAAATTTTTACGCCAAATTGAAGGGAAAATGTTTTCGCTACATTTCGCTTGGAAATTTTCTGCTCAATTTGGCAGAGAATTTTTCCGCTAAATATAGCGAAAAATGTTTTCGCCAATTGTAGCATGGAAATATTTCAGCCAAACCTAGCTGGGAAAGTTCCCTACTAAGTTTAGCGGGAAATGTTTCTGCTAAATTTGGTGGGGAATTTTTACGCTTACTTTAGCGCAGAATTTTCGCGCTAAATTAGGCCGGAAAATTTTCTACTGAATTTAGCGGGGCAATTTATCCTTAATGCAACGCGCGACGACACCGACGCCGACGGCGACGGCGACGGTGCTCAAGCCGGAAACACAAGGAAAGGTCACCATGTATAAAGCAAATCGCATTGCAACGTTAGCACATTTCTTCAGTACAAAATGTTACAGTGGACGCTAAGCGCAAAACACATGAGAAAGCTATGGAATTTTAACATAGTTCCGCAGAAATGAAAAAGGGGTTGAAAATAAGAATAACTGGTAAACTGAGTGTTCAATTATTAATATGACTGGAGAACCCATGTTACAATGCAGTTCCTCTTGTTATTCCTGGTATCCTAGTTTGTGCATTTAAAATGCGTCGCCTCAGCCGTATCTTTATGCCCACTATTTTTTCGCCGTCAGGTCAGATAGCTTCCTGACCAGACGCTGGCTCTCTGAATACGTTCATGGGCCAAATCAGGCCCGACGGTCGGGGTTCGTACAACGCTTTAATAAATTCTCCATCACGAAACAGACATGCGCATGGAAGGGTCTCTCAAGGACTTCCACAAACTGAAGAAAATAGCTAACCGAGTAAACTTGGAAGTCATCTTCTCAGCTCCTAACACACTTCACAGCTAATGCAAGAAGGTAAATACTCCACCAATTACAACCGTTGGCTGCTAAAAGAAGCATAAGAACACCTTTGTCCCTTGTACAAAGAAGGTGGTGTACCCATTTCCCCTCTCTTGCAGAAAACTCTACATAGGTCAGACCGGAAGGTGTCTTAACGATCGCCTTCGTGACCGTAATAACACATTCACCAACAAAAGCTCCGGTCATCTAGGCATTCAATGTCGAGACTGTGGCTGCTCAGTGCTGCTAAGTAACTGCGGCGTGCTTGGGAAGCACCACAACCAGCTCACAAGAGAAATTATCGAGGCAGAGAACTTTGCGAAACATAACGGCAGATGTGTTAGTCTTTAACCTTGTTACAAAAAGAATTAGACTACCTAGCCTTAAATTATTTTCAATTTAGTTCACTATTTAACATCATATCGAAAGAAAAGAAAAAAGACCAGTTATTCTCCCTGGCCCTTGCATATAGTACAAATAGAAGAAGAGAAAGTGTAAATATACAGAGAGTTGTCAGTCAGCGCTGAGTAAGTGTCTCTTTCTTTTGTGTGTGTGTTGACTTGAGTGACTGTTCTCCGGGTGCGCTGTTCCCCCTGTACGTAGTGTTTCCCCCTGTACATAGTGTCAAAGGAGCACTGACAGCTACCCTGATGCAGATGGGTCTCTACAAAACGCACCTAGCAGAGTAACCTGTACTACAAGGAGCGATACCTGCAGAAAATAATTCCTGTTCCCTTTTGCGTGAACGCTGGCACAAGATAGAATGCATTCGTAAATTTTCAATAAATACTCAAAATATGGAGCCTTTGTGGAG